AGAGGAAATAACTCACTGGCATTGTTTTTTAGTTGCAGGCATAGACCCTGGAACTGAGGCAGGAGGGGATACATTAAATGATCTGGCAAAATTGGACAACCAAGACTCCTGTGCAGTTGAGCCTTCTCAGGAATTATCCATCAGAAGTGTGCTAAATGATGAAGCACTAAGAAATATTAATACACGTCTTTTCTTTGAGCTCTTTCAGGAATTATAAAGGCTGTCTGCAATCTATCTATGCACACTTGTTATACTACACTGAACACATTCACATATTGTACTTGTAACAGTCTTCATATTTAAGGATGTTTGAATGATAATGGATGGGAGAAGTTATTTGCCCTCCCCCTGCAGGTACCTGCATGTAGGCAAAATTAATAACAAACTTCCAGCCAATATTGAGCCTCCTGATACCTTAAAAATAGTTCTAGGGTCCCAGATCTCAGGAATTCATATTGCTACCCTCAGCCTGGAGTACCAAGCACTCAACAGAAACATGGTCTCCTGTACACTTTCAGTCAATTTGCTCACTGGAGGCAGAACCAGCAACCCAGAAGGAGCTTCTGGTCTATTTAAGGCTCACTTTGGGTTTGCTTGCTACTGAAATAATGTTTGCATCAGAATGATTGGTACTCTAGCCTGGATCTATCTAGGCTACTATCTGCTTTGTTCTAACTTTTCCCTATTGGAAGCTGACAATTAGACTACAATTTATTTTTCTTGCCAGAACTCGAACTTGTACCCAGTAGTTTCCCCATTGTTTGACACAGTGTTCCTAATTGAGATGCCTGCCTGGGACAGACCAACAAGACCACCATATTAGTGCACCTGGCTGAAAAGTAACAGGGTTCCAAAGTCTGACACCAGTTCTGTTAAAGGAATCCCTGATTCCCCAAAGCTAACTGAAAAAGTCTTATCAGCTTTAAAACTGAATGTGCAGAAGTTCTCTATATTAATTTTACACTCCTTTCTGCACACTCTGCCTTCCTATTTCAAGAAATATTTAATTTGTCTTTTTCTTTGAAGGTTATGCTCCAAGGCAAGACTGCATACGTTCTTTTTGTTTCTTTTGTGTCTTGTGTCTTCTGAAAAATAGGTTATCTGGCTTTCCACTTGCTGAAGGGCTGAAAGGCTATTCCCATGGCAGCAAAGTTTCTGTTACTAAAGTTCCTACAATGATCTTGAGACTGTTGTAGGAGTGAGGCTAGAACTCCATGGCATGAGAAACAGCTATAGTTTGGGGGGCAATGGGAGTGGTCATTTGCATAAGACTTGAGTATTTAGTATATTTCCTTCAATGTTGGCCTGTCAAAAGAGCAGAAAATAATATGTTTTATTTTTCTCAAAAGAGCTGCTACAGACTTTTTGTCTCTTTTTAGATACTAATTTGGTTTTCTGTCACCAATATACAGTTCAGATTGGGACATACTGCTATATATGCCAAGAAGGGAGTATATGATTAACGGTTCAGTGTGCAATGGATCTAACCTGAAATCCTCAGAGTCATTTATATCGTTCATCCCTTTGGCTTCTGATTTGCACGGACTTCCATCTTTAAAATATTGTTTAAGGGTGGTTAATGGAAATTTACAAATAAATGTGGCTTACTTATATTAAACAGAACATTGCATATGAGTAAAACCATTTTAAAAAAACTGTGGAGAAATAAAATTATGCTTTACATTTTTACACTTCATTCTTATTTTTAAAATTTACTTATTAGATTTATAGCCTGCCTTTCTCTACAAAATAAGATTCATTTCTTTCTGGCTATTGTGGTGGAGTTTTGGAGGTAGTCCTGGTATAGATCTGGTGCAAATCTATGGAGAATCGGTGTTCTCCACAAATATTTGTTTTAAAGGACTTGCCTCATAGTCCTTTCTTCTTTGGTCAAATTGAGCAGTCTCCAAAGTGTCTTGTGCTACATCAGTTATGGAAAAAGTGAAAATCCTCCTTTTTTCAGAACCCTAGGTAGCCTTTAAAGAAGCCCCATATAAATGTTGCCCCAATATGTGAAGTGACCTTTTTTCATCTTCCCTAATTCTGCTATACTGCAACTTATGATATTTTTAGGAGATGACAGACTATTTGTGGACATATTCCAGAGATCAGCTGAAGTTTGAACTGGGGAATAAGCAAGAACATCATACTTTCAGTTAATAGCCACAAGGAAAAAGCTACCTGCTCTGCCCCTTATAAAATAACTACGGTAATCTAAAATGTAATTGGGGTGGGTGGGTGTAGTGAAGACTAAATCTGTGTGGATAGGCGAGCTGACTTTCTTGTGAAATGTCCTGAAGCTCACTTCTAATACTGAAAATAAATTCTTGGGCTGAGTCATATGGTCATATGGTCAAAAGCACCATACGCATTATTGCTGTTATATGCCCTTCAAGTCAGTTCTGACTTATGGCAACCCTGTCATGGGATTTTCTTGGCAAGACTTATTTAGAAAGGAGACTATTGCACTAGTTTATAAACCAGTTTACCTGAGCTGGCTTAAAATTAGAAGCAGGCGTCATCCTGATAGTATCACACACATTTAGCTGCCGAAATCACCGCCCAGCTGCAGTCCACCAGCTCCACTGCTGCTCCAAGGGGTGCTCCTCATACCTCTTTTCAAAGCTAGGAATTTTCTGGCTTGAAAAAATGGCTGCCAGAACACCCCTCTTCAAAGTTTGCAACTGCCTTTATCCAAGGCAGAGAGAATGAGACTTGCTCGAGGTCATCCACGGAGTTTCCTGAAGTCTGACCACTGCTCATTTACATCTCTCTCCTTAAATTGTTCACTAATTTTTCAGCTTCTCTAAACCAAGGTTGTGGCCCACCAGATATTATTGTTGCACTGTAACTCCCATTATTCCTCACTGCTGGTTGTACTGGCCAGGCCTTCAGATAGCTGCAGTCCAGCAACATTGGTGGGTCACCCATAGTTGTCCACCCTGATCTAAATATTTGAAACATATTGGATCTAGACTGAATTACAGTAACTATGGTCCAAAGCACATTACAGAAATCAGACGCTTTAACTGCCCTGGCTCAATGCTAGGGAATTCTAGGCACTGTAGCTTTGTGAGACATTTAGCCTTTTCTGTCAGAGGACGTTTTCACACGGGGCTTTAGACGGAGTCATTCCTACCTCCGTTCGGCCCCACTCCGGCTCTGTGCAGGATAAGTTCACACGACGTCGCAGCAAGCCCCGCCCCATCCTGCGCCATCCCTGCGCCATCCCTGCCTCACTCCGGGGTCTTGCTGCGAGTGTTCACACGACGTCGCAGCAAGCCCCGCCCCATCTTGCGCAATCCCTGCGCCATCCCTGCCGCTAGCCGGCTTTAGCCCCATTTTTGTAATTCCTTTTTAAAAGAGGAATTACAGGCGCTTCTGCCGGAGGCAATCAGGAGTCATTCCGGCGGCTGCTGTTTTCGCCGCCGGAATGACTCCTGATGGCTTCCAGGCGGCTTTAGAGCCGCCTGTGTGAAAACGTCCAGAGAGCTCTGGTGCCACAATAAATTACAATTCCCAGGATTTCCTAGAACTGAGCCAGGGTAGTTCAAGTGGTCTCAAACTGGATTATTTCTGCAGTGTGTTTTGGACCTACGTTACTAAGGCACGACAAATTTACTGTACAATCTTATTTATGATTATTAAGTTTGTCTGAGTCCAGTGAGTCCTACAACTCAGTGAATCATATAGGTTTCAGTGGTGAGGTAGGACTGAATCTCAGTATTGATGTCCAGGGTCCTATAACTTCACACCCCACTTCGTGACCATTTCTAAAGCAGCAAGTGATAGGTACAGTGGCAGACAGTCTCACTGTCTGCACCAAGGCATGTTGGATCTGCAAAGTCTGCTTGCCATAATATCCTTATTCTATTTAAATTATAGTTAGAGTGGCTAACTGGGCAGGAACATGATAATGTTAATTTTATTTTACTTTTACGATATATTACCCTTTAGTACTTAGTCCCAACAAAATGTTTTTAACAGGGAAGCAACCATCACTTTATTCCTGTAGTTATGATGGTTCTATGATTTCAGTAAGTTTAAAAAAAGAAGCTGCACAAGTTCAGTCTTTTTTAAACTGGGTTAGTATCCCTCTCCCATAATGCATCAGAATAAATAATAGCAGTCATAAAGCATGTAATGGCTAAGGTGTATGGGACATGGGAGAAGAGAAATATTAGTTATACACATCAGTGTCTAAAGCAGAGACACAGACATAAGATCAATGTGTCCAGGGTCAAGATTACCTAGTTGTTCCACAGATAGAATTGCAACCTGTGTCTGGAATCAATCCATATTGTTTATGGTATCCCACTGTACCTCACCAAACAGAACAATAAAATAAAATGTTCACACAGATATAATATGGAAGAGTTATGCATTAAAACAGATGCATGACTCTTCCATATTATATCTGTGCAAAACTATCTCATTTTGCCTCTATAAATAGAATCCCTTTAAGATCTTCACAGATTTTTTGGTATCAGAAGCTATTTTGTAATGTATTTCTTTCCTTGTCCCTTTTCTGTCAGGTTTATCCACTTTAAGCTCAGCAGTAAGTGCAATGTCCCATCATTTCACTAATAATTCACCCTTAGTGGTTTTTACACATATTGTCCTACCGATACTCAAAAGCAATTCTAGCTGAAACAATCATACCGTATTTTAATACCAACAACATAACTTTAAAGTAATATTGAAATTTAGAGGATTTGAAGGATAATTCTAATAAATGATGTTCACAATACTGTTTATGATCATTTAGAACAATTTATTCACTTAGAGGCATTTCTACCGCATTTTGGAGGGAGTCTCCCCCTAACTCTAAGAATATAGTTGCTTGTTGTTGTTGTTGTTGTTGTTGTTGTGTGCCTTCAAGTTTTTTCCGACTTATGGTGACCCTTATCATGGGGTTTTCTTGGCAAGAGGAGGTTTACCATTGCTTTCCCCTGAGGCTGAGAGCATGTGACTTGCTCAAGATCACCCATTAGGTTTCACGGCTGTGCTGGGAATCGAACCCTGGTCTTCAGAATTGTAGTCCAACACTCATATCACTATGCCATGCTGGCTCTTTAGTCAGTTCTTATTTAAGTTGTCCATTTGGGAAACAGCATCCTAGAACTCTGGCAGACCAGTTTGAATCCCTGCTTGGCCATGGAAACCCATTGGGTGACCTTGGGCAAATCATAGGCTCTCATTCTTAAAGGGAGTTAACATCAAACCTTCCCTGAATAAATTTTGCCAGTAAAACCCCAGGACTGGTTTGCAATAATAGACTTGAATAGTCTTGAAGGCACATAACAAGGTAAAGTAGACCTGAAGGCATATAATAATAGTAAATCTTTTAATTTCACTAGCCCTGTACAGGTATTGCCATAGTTTCTTTAACTAGGAAGCACCTAAGTGCTTAGTAAGCCGCTTGGATTGTCTGGCAATAAGCGGGATACAAATAAATTTTATTATTATTATTATTATTATTATTATTATTATTATTATTATTATTAGTCTCACCATCTTATATTGGTACTATCATCACAGGAAAACAGGAAAACAACACATTTGAAGAGGAGAGGAGAGGCTCCTGTCCAAGAAGAGGTTCTCTGTGCAAGAAAGATCACACATTTCCCAGGATTCTCGCTTACATGGAAAGCATCCACACAAACACGTTCCTTTTCACACGGAGAAAGTGACAATCGAGGCGGGGCAGGACTAAGTGCTCCATTGTTCCCATCCATGTTGAGAAATCATGTTGAGAAATACCTGAACAGGGCTCTTATCATTTATTTGGCAGCCAATGGTTCTTTGTAACATAATGAATTGCGGAGGGGGGGGGGAGAAAGAAAGAGTACAACCTTCATTGCATGCTAAAGAAGCAAGATGCATGAAGTGATGCTCACACAATAAAATAAATCATGGCTTTGTCATGAAGTCTGCTTAGATAAGAATTTATTTAACTGACATCTGGTCATGGATCAAGTGTGGAACACACCACTCATAAATATTGACAAAGAATTTTTGGCTGAAGCAGAAGAAAAAAGAGGTTCATTTTCTAGCAACAAGAGATAATCTCTGTGAAGCACTACCTGGAAATCTTGCGCTAGTATTTGGGAGCAGCAAAGGACTGCATGCAAACCAGTACATTGAAGCTTAATCAGAGAAAAGAGATGGACTCTTGGTCAGTAATGGTGACTACAGAAGAAGGCTGAACTTGTTGCCTGTCTTTCAGGCCTTCTGAAAGACCAGCTAAGGTGGTTGCTCATGGATGTAACAAGACAGTTTTCAGTGTGTGTTTGTGTAGGGAGAGTGGAGTGACAAAAATGGGGGAAGGCAGGTGAATTTGAACATCAATCACTATTGAAAAGATTTCAGTAGGAAAAAAGTTTTCATAGGTGATGACAAGAATAAACCTCAATTAATGCATGTTAACCAGAAAATATATTGTGATGCTTCCACAATCAATTTAAAATGCAATATTTTCCACATGCAAAATAGTTTTTTAAACTAAATAATAGTGTGTAGGAATTAAATATATATTATCTGAGTCATCCTACTGTAATGATGTGAATATTTAATAACCCAACGTGCTGTAATTTCTCTGCAAACTTGCAAAGAAACTGTTCAGTTTAAAGTTATTTCAAATATGTTACTTTCAAAAGTCAAGATTACTAAATTTGCTTTTCTCTGATGAAGCACTGGACTCGTGTGTGGTGTCAGCACATGTGTCAAAGTGGACAATTAATTTTCACACACAGCTGTAGATGCTCCAAATGTAAGTCTTGCACCATACAAAGTGTACATGCACAGAGAAACCTCCTTTATGTACAGTATGATATTTTAATAAATTTGTGAAGTGTTACTATTGGAGTTTTGTAGGATTCTACCATACCTTTGGAAGCCTAAGCTGTATTTCTAAATGTTCACTTGTGATGCTAGAAATTTGAGGACTGAATTAAAAATAAATCAGTGGGGGTGAGCAGAATTATGTCGGGGGGGCAATTCCCCCCCCCCCCCCCCCCCCCCCCCCCCCCCCCCCCATGAGCTTGCCCCTTGCAGTTGGATATGCAGATCATAACAGTAGTTAGGAATATCTTGTCCTGGTTTAGTACTATACAGTTTTCTATGAGCAAGGCTGACCAGAGTGATGTAGGTGTTAGCTCTAACAATAAGGCTGTGCTAAAAAGCATTTGGAAACTTCTGCTGGTTCAAAATCCTGCAGTTATTCAGGTCCAATATACTGAATCGTGTGTCTCTTCTGCTATACAAATTGCCATGGCTGCTGATCTGTTCTCAAGTGCTGAAGATTACTGTTAAAGACTTAAATGGCTTAGGGCCAGAATACCTGAAAGAGCACCTCCTCTTGTACAGGCCTGCCCATCATTTAAGATAATCTGCAGAGGTTCTCTTGTGTGTTTTATGCAAGCATAAGAGGTATATTTGGCGGGAATACAAGAGACAGCACCTTCACTGTAACTGTGCCTAGGTAGCAAAAGAACTCAGGGGGTGATTTGGCTCTCCCCCTCCCCCTTTATATTACTTTTAAAATACACATTTCTTTCTGCAAGAGTGGCTGGATTTGTCTGGCTCACAACTGACATTTTATCTACCACTGTGTGTCATCCTCATTGTTTTAAATTGTTATTTTGATTGTATTATTATAGATAGATATGGATATTATGGTCTATGTCTGTAAGTTGCTGTGGTTGGAAAGATCACCTGCCTTACCTAGAATTACTCTGCTCTATACTAACTATGCTTTTAAAAGTCTTAACGTTTTGTCTTGAGTAAGCTGGTATAACTCTTTTGAAACCAAGAGAGCTCTGTTGACTTACATCAAGTGTGGACCTGACCTCTGTGAACACTGAGTACTTGGTGCACTGATGCCATAAAAGAGTGTTTTCGTGCAAAGAAAAGAGCTTCCTTTCTAGTGTATACCTTGGAGCAATTACCCTCAAGTAATAACATAAGTTCTCTTCAACCTTGTTGTTATGAGGCTTGGGGGGGGGGGGACTTTTTTATATCATATCTGTAGGTAGCAGGCTACATGTATGGACTGGAAGAAACAATTCAGCAAAAGAAAATACAGTGGCAAGACATAATACAGAAATAGCAGCACATTTCTTTGAAATACAAACTTTTTTTTCAGGAGAAGCAATATAAACGTGGATATACAGTACAACAAATGCAGCAAACACCACCTGCTTGGGGGTTCAATTCTGGGTTTTAATTTGAGAGGTTGAAGGGACACCGTTATCACATGGGGAGTTGAGGGGAGAAAGTGGAAATAAACGGGCACAAGCAGAAGTCTTTAACTTACAGGATTTATCCCGTTCCGCCTCGTCTGATAACTACATTCGAATTTAAAAGGGGGTTATCAGATGAGGCGGAATGGGACAAATCCCGTAAATTAAAGTCTTCCACTCGTCCGGTTTATTTCCACTTTCTCCCCGCAACTCCCTGTGTGATAATGTCCAATGACAGTATAAATTAGTCCTGGCCTAGCATTAGACTTCAGTCAAGCCTGTGGTCCAGCCACAATTGTTTCTTGTTCTTAACCTTTTTACTAATCCCCAGACAAAAAGACTCATGCTTTTCCAGTTCATGTTCCTCTTAATTTTATGTAGGTGTTCTCATGTGTATTTACTTGGCAACGCACTTTGTTAAATTCTATTTTTAAAGAAGAGCATGGGTTTGGGGAACAAGCCAGAGTACATGGATGCAGAAATATAGGGGCTAAGCAGACGGCCAATTGGGCCGTTTTGGGGGCAGGGAAGGGGAGGGGCAGCCGCACGGCCGGCGCTCCGAGGAGGACCTCCCGCTGCAGCGTCCACACATTCTGCAGCGGAAGAGTCGCCGAAGGTGCGCCGACAGCCTTTTGTGGCGCACCTTTGGCGACTTGTGGAAGGAACGCCAATTTAGCGCTCCTTCCAGGGGCAGCGAAGGTGCGCCGCAGGGCTGAGGTGTGAGGATACCTCAGCCCCATGGCGCAGCTTCCCGGGGCGGCCCATGGCTGCCTGTCTGCTACCCCCCATAGGCAATCTTATGAGGCTTAAAGGGTTGAGGGATAGAATGGCTTAGTGGCTAAGACACCAATTCTGACAATTTAAAGATTGAAAGGTTGGCAGTTTGAGGCCCGAGTGCTGCATGATGGAATGATCTCCCATCACTAGTCCCAGCTTTTGTCAGCCTAGCAGTTTGAAAGCATGCAAATGCAAGTAGATAAATAGCACTTCAATGGGAAGGTAACAGTGTTCCCCCTACAGTTGGTTAGTCATGTCAAGGGACTACCTTTACCTTTACCTTTAACTTTGCCTTTAAGGTAAGGCCTCATTGAGTTCAATAGGTCCTACTTTCATATGAGTATGTGTGGGACTGACATGCAGGTTGTGAACCTAAGTGTATGTACTTAGAGTAAGTCCTATTGCAGTAAGTGAGAATTCCAAGCAAATAGCATATTGATCCCAAACACAGGCATATAAGTGTGCTGTAATTTCTTTCACGTAGTTTAAAGTGCTGTTCTCAACGAACCATGACAGAGAAGTGAAACCAAGCATACTGGAACTGAAACAAGAATCCCATTTGCCATTACGTGGTGTTAACTGGATCGTAGTAGGTGCAGAAGGTATTCTTTCAGTTAAATACAGAGGGAGGAGAATGCTAAGAATTCATCCAGAAAGTGTTAGGGCAGATTGAATTACAAGGTGCAGGATAAGCAGAAAAAACAATTGGAACAGTGAATAATAAGGAATTCGAGGCAAGGCTGCTCGGTGAAGGACTGAATAATAACAAGATGCTTCAGGAGTAATAAATATGCCATCCAGGTGACCTTGGTAACCCCATGGCAGGCAGCTCTTCAGCAGGCCCAGGGTCACTCTGTAGTGCATCTAACAGCTGCCTGGTGAGAGGGTTGTGCCCATAGTTGTGTGCTAACCACATGGTTTATTCGGGAATAATAATCCCTCTGTGGAAGAAGACTAAGAACGGGAACAGCAGCTATGAAAGAAACAAGGTACTAAAGAGTAAAGATATACAACTGACCACTAAAGTTAGAATCGTCCAAGCCATTGTATTC